TAAATCCACGTTACCAGTTAAAACTTAATTTAAGTACTCGTAACTGACTAACTGGTACCCATGTCATTTTAAAAAAACTTTTAAGTACCTCTAAACTAAAAACAAATATATGAAAATTTACAGTTATCTAATAACATAAAAAATATACAATAAAAATATAGCTATTATACGATGTGTACTTAAACAGACGAACGGAAGTTTTAGAAGAAATATACTGAGCTCAAATCTGTCACTAATTACTGATATTGGTTTAACTCAGATATAAGCCATAAAAGATTCTAAAATAAAAAAAATGTAATAGTATCTCTGATCTGTATAGTCTATGATCAACTTCAGCAGACTAAAACAATTTGTACCGCTAACTAACCTGGAGCGGAATCGAACTTACTACCTCTCGCATATTTTTACTAGATACTTGCTATAACATTTTGGTTGACATTTTCCTCTAAACTTATATATTTTTACAATATGTTTTACAATACTTTCCTTATATTATTGAGAAAATTATATATGTTACTAGTCTTCTGTATTTCCTTAACATTTTTTCTCTTCGTCTAACGGTTTCCTGGAAAATAAGCATTTCTTATAGAACTACAGTTTTGAGAACAATTTAGATTTGATTTCATACCTCCCGGAATGTTTTGCCGAATTTTTTTTGCCATACTAGAGCCACAGAAGAAAAAATTGAATTCAGTGTTATATATTTTATAAAATGACTTAGCAACTATATAATAAAATTTATAGCTATGAACTATACTTTTTTGCTTGTTTAAACTTCTTAATAATGTTACAGTAATTGTACCAAGGTTAGCAGGTTTAAATCCAAATTTCTATAACATAGACTTTATCTAATCAATAGAAATAAAATCAAGTGCGAGACGAATTCGCACACGAAGGGTTCCGTACCATCGTACATGTACTTTTTTTTAATATGACTTTTACTCTATGTAAGTAGTATATTAACTTCGATGATCGAATACTAACGTTAAAAAATGTTTCTTGTATTTTTTTATTATTGTCTATGTTATTTGTTGTTATAGCGGAAAAAGAAATATATACTCTGTGAAAATTTCAACTCTCTACCTATTACGGTTCATGAGATACAGCCCTCTGATAGACGGACGGATGGACAGCGGAGGCTTAGTAATAGGTTTCCGTTAGCACCCTTCGGATACGGAACCCTAAAAATAATTTTTAAAACCCTAAAATGATGTTTTTTTAAATCGGTTAAAACGCCGTTAAAAGCGCCTCGGTAACTACCAACAATACTTTCATTTCTTAGTGATTAAAAAGGAAGTTTTACCTAAATAAATACGACTTTCACAAGAGATATTTGGTTGTACCAATAAAAAACACATTGAAATATTTTGCTTTTATGTTTGTGTGTTGATTTTCAATAAATTTTTTTATGAATAGATTATATATCAAAAGGGTGGTTCCATATTTAAAAATAAAACACCCCTAAAGCAAAATAATAACTATAGGTTATAGGTGATGTTAAAGTCGCCTTTCTTAGTTAATAATTATTTTTGTATATTTTTACAAATGTAATTTTGAAAAACGTAATAATATCAAAAAATCTATTAACAATATCTAAAATTATCAGAATGATCGTTGACTCTGATTTTTTAATTTAATTCGCTTAGCGTTAAAGTGTAAAAATTGTTCAATAGTATTTACGTACAGACACGCAATTATATAACCAAGGTTTATTACAATTGAGATGGGGTTTTCCCTAGAAAATATAAAAAAAATTTTCTACATCAATTTCTATATGTTTACATTTTCGTTCCAACTTTCAAAATCTTCCTATAGAGCTAAAGGTTTTTTTTTTATATAAGGAACTCTTGTGCAAAAATTTAGTTCCCTTGGATTAATTATTATATATATATATTATATATAAAAATATCTTTTTGGATTTTTCTGCGCTTTTTTTTTTTTTTTTTATTAATGATGCTTCAAATACTTTACAGAAAACATGGTTATGGAGACTAAGATTTTTGACGTCCCAAAAAAACGTAAAACCGCGAAATCCAAAAAAATAATTTTATACAAAAAAAAAAAACCAAATATTCGCGTAATCTAAGTATTATATTCTTATTAAAAAAATAACATTACCTTATATAATTATTGGTATAAAACACGTCTGTCCATTTTGCCGGATAAGTGAAGACTGAATAAATCCTAGAATCTAGATGCGGTGTCGCCGATTCAATTATATCACCTGTATATACACGGTGTCCTAACAATCACTATACACGTGTTCACTTCTTGTTATCTCTTAAATTTTTTTATTTAACTCGCTATTCCTGTGGCTTTCCTTGGATTAATGAATCATTTTCATGAATTTTGTTTATTATAGAACAGTGGTATGTAGATAGCCTTTGAATGAGAACGATTCTACAAAAATTTTGAGCATCGTTAGGTTTTTTCATCCGAATATTATCTAACTAAACTTTACTAAAGTTCCTTAATTTTCAATTTTATACATATTGGTACTAATTATCCGTAAAATAAGTACGTTTAGTTCCGAAAGCAAAAATCGTATGTGGAAGTTAAAATTTTACTAGATACACGAGGCTGTGAAATAGACATAGTAGGCGCTAAAATGCTATTAGATAGTTGATATTATACTTATTTTTGCCTGTAGCTTTCCTTGCATCCAGTTTTTAGACTATTTACCCTTGAAGGGGTTGTTTTTGAAAATGAACGAAACACTTTTATCTATTTGTTGTCAGGAGTAATCCTGCGAATTGATACATCTCTCTTATATGATTTCTCCATACAAATTTTGGACTCCCGTTTCAGCCCTTTAAGGGTTGAGATTTCATAAATCCGTTCTTAGCAGATGCCTACGTCATAATATCTTTGTGCATAATTTCAACCCAATCCGATCAGCGGTTTGAGCATTGATAGAACAGTCATTCAGTTCGGTTTCCTTTTGTACGAGTATATACAGATTATCTACACATATAATAAAATTCTAAGTCAAATCTGTACATTAAATGTTTTTTGGGAAATCTAATTGAAATAGACATTATTATCGATACAGAGTCCGAATTTATAGTTTTTAGAATTTTTGTCTATCTGTCTGTCTTTCTGTCTGTCTGTCTGTCTGTTACCGCATCCCAAAAAAACTACTGGACATATTTTTATGAAATTTAGTATAATGATAGCTGGTTATCCGGGTCAACATACAGGCTACTTTTTACCGCGGGAAAATATCTCATTTCTGAGAAAAAATACCAAAAACACCAAAACTGCATTTTAAGAGTATACTAATATGTAAAACCTAAGAATATGGTTTTTGGTCATCTGAACGCGGGCGGAGCCGCGGACAATGCTAGCTAGTACTTTATAAGTTTGTTTACATTAAAGTCAATTTGTTAGTATTTTTAGTTAGTAAGTGTAAAAAATCACTACGTTTTTATAATATCTTTACAAATGATGATATTGATGATATGAATGATGTATTAATGAAGGAAAGACTAATACATAAATTATACAGATAAATTGTAAATAATTCATATGCATAGGGGCTTGAACAGATAGGCTATTTAAAAGTGTAATTATTGGTTATCGTTAGATACTTTATGCAAATTTTAGATTTGCCTGTAGGTACATTTGTACCTAGATAGTTTTAAGTCGTTCAATTCATTCAATCTACATAAAATAATAGTAATATATTCTATTACCATGTTACTGTACTATTGAAATATTATATTACCATGGAACAAGATATTGATATGTGTTAATGTCCCAACATATTTATTTATTTACTTTTAAGACGACGTATTCTTTGTAACGTACTAGGCTTGTGAACTCCTGACACATGCAGAGCATATGCCATGATAAAACATAAAAGTTTTATTACTCTATGACTGTTTTTTAATTAATCTGTTTGCCTTTCATGCATATCTTCAGGGTATGTGTTTATTTACACATTTTTATTAGCTTTACTTTTATATCGTCGTCTCAGTACTTATTTGCCCAAAAGATCGATTTACCAAAAGAGTTTTAATACAGAATTATTAGCCTTTAAAAGAATATATCTTTTACTATAATCTTCTGTTGGTATAAAATAAACATATTTTTACTTAAATTAAGCTAAAAAATGTAATTTATCTATGTACTAGCAGTACCCGCGGCTTCGCCCGCGTTCAAACTTCGATCGCTACGATACTTCACAGGATCACTCGCTGGGCTAATCTGAAGATTGCCTGAAAATTTCATCAAAATCGCTCCAGCGGATTTGGAGTCCATCACATACACATCTATTTTATACTATATATAATATATTTATCAATGTTAGAAATTAAGCTGTTAATAATTAAAAAATAATCTCTCTACTGTAAAGTACAAAAAGTATTGGCCGTTTAAAACCAATAAGCGATACGGTGACTTCATAAATAACAAAGTAACAATATGTATGTTAATAAATATAGAAACCTGATTTTAAACTACTTGTAGAAACGTAAAATTTACAAGGATATACAGGGTCATTTTTAATTTACTGAAAACCTTTTGGGAATATACTATTTACATCATAACATACAAATACTTTTTTAATGACAGCGATAGGACCTCGCTCGCCAGTGGCGCCAACTGGTGCCACTAGAAACGATACACGTGCCCTGATTGTCCCAAATTACTTGCAACTTTCACCTCTAGTTAGTTTAGTTGGGATAGTTTATTACTAGTCTTACAATACAATTCCTCCAGTCTAAATTACGCACAAATCTGCTTTAATATGAAGTAAACATACACACGCACAAACTTATACAAATATATACATATATTATAGTGGGATAATATAAGTAATACAAATGATATTTAAATGATTATTACCTTGTATCAATATTAAAAACACAATACAAATGAAAAAAATAGGCTCAATTTTTTTATTTCATCACAATTGGGTCCTCCAAAATTTTAAGTATTAATTTATAAAAAATAAGAATCATTTGGCTTGGAATTAATTTTCTTAATTTTCTTTACAGATTAATGATATACAAAAAGCGCCGTGACTACGCGCCTCTAGTGAACGGTGAAGATTTGAAGTTGCTCGGACGAAAACCGTATACCGAGCTTAGAAGCCTGAACGGGGCATCGAACCCGCGACAACGGTGAATGCAAACTACCTCTCGCCCTACCATTGCTGAAGTCACTGAAGTCGCTGAAGTCGACTTAAAATGTAACTTCATTATAATATTAATTATAGAATGTTATAATTAAAACGCTGTAATATAACAGTTGTAAATCCAACTAGTGTTACACTTATAGTGTTTAAATATGGTTAGTTAATTGTACATAATGTGAAAAATAGAAAAAAAAATCTCTTTAAAACAAACCTAAAGTAAATTTTTGTGAAAATTGCTCAGTGTCTACGCTCATGTTCGTATACTCAATTAGATTAAAGCAAATGGTAGGGCCTATTTAGTCAGTATTGGCCAAAGTTGCTGAAAATTTGAAATTTTCAGTGCTTTTTTGGAGTTTGTGTGGTACCAGTTCTTTGACGTGCTGTGAAATGAAACTCGTATGTATATAGATAGTTGATAAGCGAAATATTGCTTGTATTTTATCGTTTTGAATTTTTTTTTGATAATTTGGTGAAAAATTTGTATTTTACGTATAATTTACAACAGAAATGGTAAAACTTCTAGGAAATTTTGGTATTTTTTTATACTTAAATGAATTAAAGAACCCAAAAATTTTCATGAAAATATTATGGATGATATAAATTTTCCATCAAATTTTAGTATAGTTATCAAACAATTGACCATATAATTGGTGAATAGGCCAAAATCAAAAATGTAGGTAATTTTATTGAAATTGTACTAAGCAATAGGTAGTATTGTTTTAATCGGTTTGAAATCACATTTTTCAGATTTGACATCATTTGTATTATTTTTTGACATTTTATACACAAAAATAGTTTGACTATATAATGTTTAGAAAAATATTTGTTTTTTTTTTTAATTATATTTTTATGTAATAATGGGCTGTTAATTGTTTTATTTATTGTAAGTATTTATGTTTATTTTAGATTATTAACTAAATATAAATATTTTACAAATTTCTGTTCCTACATTATTTTTACTATTAATTTCCCATATACACAGCATGTTTTAAAAAGGGAAATTTATAAAATAATATGTTTTCTAAGAAAAATGTTATATGAATACAAATCATATGTATTTATTTAAACATTTTTTTATAAACTTTTCATGAATTATGTAATTTGAAAAATCGATTTTAAGCTTACTTGTTGACGTATGAATTTGAAATTTTATATAAAATATGGTTGACATTAAAATATGTAATTTGGTACCTACTGTATAACCTGATGATGGAGATACTTTCTTATAGTAAAACTAAATTTGGTTTTATATATATTTTTAAAGACTCTCAATTACGGTTCCTGTTTTCGGGCCAAAAGCCTATTAATTCAAACTATACCTAGTAATATACTATTAAATTACTGTAACATATTAATATATGTATATCTATTATTTATTATATACATAGCTTCATATTCTATGAAAAACCCAATAACTTGAATTATTTTCATTTTTTCATAAATATTATATTTTTTTAAACACAATCTTCTCCCTAATAAAAATATATTTCTATAAGAACAAACTCGATAGTCACTGTTATTTAGATTTTAATATCCAGAGTATTATTAGATTAGTTGTTAGCTTTAGCTTTAAGTAGACAATTTCGAATGCGCTGTAAATATTTTGTATTTGCATTTATTGAAAATGTGATTTCGAATCGATTTTTCAAACGTCATTTAACTAACAACTAGGAATGTTGCAAGTGAAAAAATCTATATGTCCGTAGAATTAGTAAGATTAAATATAGGGATTGAGTGTTAAAAATCATAAATATCATTAACAATTTTTCCAAGAGTTTCGACAAGATGAGAGATAGGAATTCTACAATCGTTTACGGTTAGATATCTAAATAGTTTATTCGAATGATATGTTATGATTCTAAGACATAACGATTAAATTTATAAAGATAAATGAAATTGAAGTCTATCTTTGTAATATCGAAATAACAGCTTTTTACTAAATGCACATGAAATTAATTATATACGGTATTTATAAGAAAAACACATTTTTAAAATTTTTGTCTGTTTGTTTGTTTGTTGGGAACAAACCTAATCTCCGAAACGGTTGGACTGATTTTGACGTGACTTTCATTGGCAGATAGCTGATGTTAAAAGGAATAATTTAGGCTACTTTTATTTTAGAAAAAGATTCAGGGTACCGCTCAAAAAAAATAAAATGTGCCTAGGGACGCACCCGAGCAAAGCGAGGGTAAGTCGCTATTATAATAATATTGATAGAATTTTGTATTCGTTAGCGATTATATCATATCATCTTGTCTAAACTTGCAGAATATGTATATTCTATATTGAACATTTATACATATAGCTAGGTACTATATCTAAGAACCTAAAATGAAAATTTGAAATTGTTTACATAAAAAAATCTATCGCACTGTTTTTGTATGCGTATGTCAAAGCGTGCGGAATCGGAATATATTATAGTTCTAAGTAATTCTAGCTCTCTCTTAGAAAAAATGTAAAAAAATACATTAAAGGCTAATAAATATTATATTTTTCTATAAATAATATCTATATTTTCTTACATGAATGCGAATTCATATTTGTTAGTTAACTGACGATGTGACAAAAGTGGTGTTTTATGGAAATAAAAAAGAAAAAACCCTGAAAAACAATATGTTGCTAGTTAATTGTATAGCGTATTTATTTATATATTTGTATGTCATCAATATCTGTATTATTCATTAATTGCAAAATAAAAAAATATAAATGAAAAGTAATTTTATTTTTATATTGTTCTTAATTTTTTTACTGGACTAAGATAACTATTTTTATGAAAAATTCATGTCCATCTGTAGCTTTATCCTTGCTTGGCGATGTATCGCAGTTACAAAGACACTAAAAACATTTATAACAATCAAAACTTAAGGGATTTTCTTCATTTTACTCTGGCTATATCTTATTTCATAAACTTTATTTAATTAGACTTGTACAAGCACTTTTGAATCGTCAATTTCTATTAAAAAACGTCAGTGTATTAAGTCCGTGAGGAAGCTACCACCGGCTCGAAAAGCGGTTCTGCTGAAAAGAACTGGCGAGAAACTACACAGGTGATTTTTTAAATGAAGTTGCATTTATGTAGCTTAGTCACTTATCGCCCTACTCTATTGTAACACTATAAACCATACAATTCTCTTTAAACGTAAATGACGCACGATATAAAACTTGGTATTTTTTGAATAAGTTTCCATTGAAATATATTTCATATATTTTTCTATACGTTAACATTTACAATAGGTAACTGCAATATAAAAAAGGCTTGTCAGAAAATATAAAATTTATGCCATGTCGTAGCAAATTACAGCAACAACCCATCAACCTTGAAGCGCCTCATTTTCGTCTCTCAAGTTAAGGACAAAAAATTCATTATAATTTATATCCTATAATTTTGGTAAGAAATAAAAAATATTCCGGCATTTATTATAATCAATAGAGGTAAAATAGGGGAAAATTTCAGGTTTTATTTAATTAGGTACTTACCTACTTTTCTATACCTATGTATATATAGTACATATATCTATTCCATACTGAACGTTAAAATGTACTCAAGACAGCCGTCTGCGCAAGAGATATTATAGCGCACAAGTATATGTGCAGACACAAGTACAATATTCCTTTTACTCTCAAATCTCAAAGTCGGGCGATAGTTAAACTTTTTATCTGTAATAGCTTGGAAAATTAGACCTTAAGAGCGCAGTAATTACACATATTTTTGCAAGCGGCGGGAAAAAGGTTAGTATTTAATAGTAAAAGTTATATGCAAAAAATGTACATAGCTTAAAAAAAATGTCAAATACATTAGACCATTACCTTGAAAAGTCGCTAAATATTTTAACCTAGATAAAATCGCTATGTACTACATTGCATGTTATATTAATACTAGCATTGCCCGCGGCGCCGCCCGCATTCTGATGACCAAAAACCAAATTCTTAGGTTTTACATATTTAGTATACTCGTACATTGCAGTTTTTGTATTTTTTCTCGAAAATGAGACATTTTCCCGCGATAAAAAGTATCCTATATGTTGACCCGAATAACCAGCTATCATCATACCAAATTTCATCAAAATCCCTCCAGTGGTTTTTCCGTGATGCGGTAACAGACAGGCAGATAGACAAATATTCTAAAAATTATAGATTCGGCCTCTGTATCGATAATAATGTCTATTTCAATAAGATTTTCCAAAAAATATTTAATGTACAGATTTGGCTTAGTTACAATTTTATTATATGTATAGATTAAGTAAATCTGTCACACTCAAATGCTTAATTGCACTTTGCGAAATCTTCCCACATAAACACTTTTTTTTCAATAAAATCAATGCAACGAAACAAATACTTTAGTGTTTAAATCATAAAGATCAAATTGCATTGCATATCAAAAAAAAATTAGTAACAAGAACATTCTGTACACTTATGTAATATTTAATTTAGACATTGATTGTGTTGTATTGTTTTGTTTTTGTAATAAAAATGTTTTTGTTCATACTTCTTGTACAAATAACTTTAATAAACGCTGACCTTCATATTAACGAAACAACATATAAAATTAAATATATATTGAACAAGTATAAAAACGACAGACACAAACGATGTAATTTAAATTTGGGCGAATTTTCAAAAATTGAAAATTTCGCGGAAAATACTTTCAAATTTTTGGAGAAGACTGAAAGATATGGAGATTATTTGAAACATTTTAACGTTAGTGACTGCTGTTCTAGTGCTAGTGATAGTGAGTATAGAAAACAACACATAACTGATGGCTTTATAATTCATGATGAAGTTTCTGACTCACATTGGAAAGAATACAAGGTAAAAATTGTGTTAATCAGATTATTTTGTATGTATTTATAGATTTATATCATCTGTTGAACAACGTATATTACCTTTATTAAGATACTATTTTAATATTATTCTGTATTCAGCCCTTTTTTAACGTCCCACTGCTGAGCACGGGCCTATCTTCAACACGAGGATCAGGCCATAGTCCACCACTCTGGACAAGTGCAGATTGGCGGTCTTCACATGTCTTTTGAAAACTTGCTAGGTTCTCTCAGACATGCATGTTTCCTCATTGTTTTCCTTCACTGTAAGACAAGTGGTAATCATGTTGGAAATGATTCGCACATGAAAATATCAAAGTTGCGAAACTCGGGATTTCAACGCGCTTCACTCAGTTTCCCAAGCGAGGAAAGTTTCCCACTGGGCTACCACTACCTACTATTGTAAAGAAAATAGTAATAATAAATTTTATGTATAATTAAAAAATCTTTTTAGATAGCCTATAATAAGTTATATTCAAGTATTCTCCACGAAGTAACTGCTTTATCTACCTGGCGGAACAACTTAAAGCGTGTCGCACAACACAACAAGCAGTACCTTGCCGGGGAGCAAAGTTATTCATTACACTTAAACCATTTTGGAGACTGGGTAAGATATATATGATAAGTAAGTACGCGCTATATAATACGACTACTATAATTAATACGAAAGTTTATTTATTAAGGATCTCCAACAGAAGTCCATATTAAAACAAAAAAAAATTGAAACTCTTTGGGCAGTGTTTAAAATGTACCCCCAATAACTGGAGAACACAACATGCACTCTAAACAGTTGATATTGTGCACTTAAAGTTTATAGGTGAAACTAAATCTGACTAAACTGATTAACAAAACCAAATTAAAAATAATAATAATAAACTAATTTATTTTATGGTTATATGTTTATTTACTCCTTCACGCTGAAATGGATTGATGGTTTTCGATGAAATTATACATAGGCTATTGATATCTAGGGCCTCACCCGAAAGAATCTAGAGTCGCCAGTATCAGTTACATATGTATTGTATACTAGCGACTCACCCTCGCTTCGCTCGGGTTCGTCCCTAGGTACGTTTTAAATTAAAATGGATATAGTCTGTTATCCTTAAGAGATAGTCGTATGCCGTCGTGGATTTTTCCGTAGACCTACGAGTATATAAAATACAAAATTCCACCATATATTATTTTGTTATATATAAAAGGGTTTAGGCAGCGTTTTCGTTGAAAACTCCCAGACGCCTTATTTTTTTCCGACACCTCCAACAAATATCGTTATATTTTAGCCAATGTATACAAAAACTTAACAAATTATATACTGAAACCTTCCTCTTGAATCACTCTATCTATTAAAAAAATCGCATCAAAATCCGTTGCGTAGATTTAAAGATCTAAGCATACATGGCGACAGACAGACAGCGGGAAACGACTTTGTTTTATACTATGTAGTACTACTACTATGTAGTAATGAATATTCCCAATAGTATAAATAGAAACCTAAGTGTATTTTATGGTTTTTAATACTTTAATAGTTAGATAGCAAAATATTTCTAAAGAACAGTAAAGCTCAAGTTTGATGTAAAGCTAAAACGCTTTCTTATCAATCACTCTCTTGCTATGTACTCGTATGTATTAAGTAAAAAAATCAGAATTACAAAGGAGAATACCTGTATACCTACTACTAAAAATAATTTTAATACCACTTTTAAAAATGTTTTTTTTTTTCAGTCAATAACAGCGTATATAAAACAAATGTTAAAATTAATAAAGACTATACCACTCTTCGATCCAGCGGAAGATCATAGGAAGACAGCGTACCGCGAGAGTTTACAGAGGAAAACACCTACAAAAGTAATTTTACGTAATGCTTTCAAATTTCCCGTCATTTCGAATGCTTTACAGCAAAACATGGTCACAGGAGAGACTAAGGTTTTAGACGTCTCAATAGTTATTATATAGTTTTGGGATATCCTAAAAAAATCGACTTTTCGAAATTCGTATTACCTGTAGCAATTATAAAAACGCTCGTCACAGAAATATCACAGAGGAAAAGTTCGTGTCGTGGCTTTTATGATATTGGAGTACACGTTGTGGTAATGAAGGACAGCTAGTCAAAACAAGTTTAATCAGAAAACAAAACTAAAAGAAATAAGTGTTCTTCTCTTCTAATCTACCACACGAGCGGAGCTGCGGGTAAAAAGTTTTATATGCTTTATAAAGCTTTTTTATTTATGTTTATGCCAAGATTGTGGCAAGTAGGTTAAGATTTGCCCGTACTTTAACTAAAACTCCACAGTGATTTATAACTAAAAAGTTAAATACTCGTATGTTGTGGAAGTCTGGAAAACTCGAGTACCATTTATATTATTTAAGTAGTAGCTTATTCACGCTGCTTTTCACGCGTAATTTTATGGAAAGTTCATATATTTTATGTGTTTGTTTCACGCTACTTTCTTTGTTAGAGCGTAACTTTAAATATTTTTTTCTACTCCAATTAGTAAAGTAAAAACCGCAGGCAAGTGGATACAGTTGCAACAACAGGTGTATCTCTTTAAAAGGGTAGGAAGTGGGAAGTCGGGTTTCCAGTGTTGTTTTCCACCTGAACTTCCTGAGGGGACACAGCAGTAGATACAATTACTTAATGTTGAGAGTTACTGTAAGAGGTAGGTGTTTCCGCGATTGAGGCAGCTTATTCATACATACATATATATGTATATCAGCGAGGTTCTCTTGCTAAAACCAAAATCTGACAATACACACTTTGACATTACGGTAGGACTAAAAGGCTATATTGGCTCTAATTTTTTATTGAAATTGTATTATAGCATGCAGTAATAGATCTTTTTAAAAGCATTTAATTTGTTTTATAAAAAGAAAATTACATTTTAAATTTTGAAAATACAAATAATTTATTTATTTATTTTTATTCAATGTTTATAGGTGGACTGGCGTTCTAAGGGTTTTAAACCACGGAGAGAAGAGCAATTTCAATGTGGGGCTTGTTATGCCTTTGCTGTTGCGCACGCGCTGCAGGCGCAGTTGTATAAAAAACATGGTGATTGGAGTGAACTTAGGTATTATAGAATACATGTTATATTATATGTACATTAGGGTGGAGCGAAGCGAGCGAGCAAAAATCAGTGGGTCACCTGAAAAATTTTGAGTAAAAACTTTTATTATTTCAAAAATTTTGTTTTTTTTTATAAGCTACAAAAATTCTACGCCCAAGTTTTGAAAAATTAACCAAATATTTTTTTTCGCTCCATCCTAGGGTAGATACATAGCTTATATTATACAACTGCCTGATTCACATTATTTAATTTTTTTTGTTCTTCTCAAATAGCACTATCTTTTCGGATATTTTCGCTGTCACTAAATATCTTTCAATTGTCAAAAAGATATTATTTTAAGCATTTTTTTAATATTTTTCAGCCCCCAACAGATAGTAGACTGTAGTTTGAAAGATGGTAATTTCGGGTGTAACGGGGGCTCCCTACAAGCAGCTATGCGGTACGCAGCTCGAGACGGCCTCATGTATGAAACCTATTACCCCTATATTGGAAAGGTTAGAAATTAGAATAATAATTATTATAGCCAGTATTATAAATATGAAAGTCACTTTGTTCTTGACGCCTTAACACCTAAAATATTAGGACTTTTATGCCACAATACATTTTTAATAAATAAATATGTTGGACATTAACACAGCACCATCTTGTGCCATGGTCGCGGGTTCGAGTCCCGCTGGGAACATTCATTTGTGTCATCACACATGTTTGCAGCATGTTTGTAGGTACTCCAGGCATGGGCATATTTATAATATGTATGTATTTAAAGTTATATACATATGTGTAGAGTGTATCAACTATCTGGTATTCATAACACAAGCCTAGTAGCTTACCATAGATTGTGGTGTGTGTTAATGTTAAACAGATTTATTATTATACAGATATTGGCTTATAATTTCTGTACTAGCTTTATAATCTAAAAACTGAAAGTGTTATCAACATTCATGAACTCATATAATAATAATATAATACTAGCGACTTACCTTCGCTTCACTCAAATGCCTAACAGTAGCCTATGTGTTACTCCACGTTTTAATTTCATCCAAATCAGTCCAGCCTTTTAGCCTGATGGAGTAACAAACATACAAACTTTCCCATTTGTAGTACATATTATATCCAGTTCGATACCTATTTGTCAATATACCAATATACATTCAATACTGGAGATGACAATGCTATTTAATCTGAAGCTGTCATCTCTTTGTCGAATTGAATTACCTTTGAACATAGTAACATCAATAATATACGACTTTCTAACAATGATCGATACTCTATTTAATTGTAGCGATACGTTACGAATTGCTGCGCTGAAATTAATGCAATATGAAACCTGTAAACATTGATGACGCCATATAACACACATCCCATTCCATATAAAGAAATTGGACAACCTTAATTTTTGAAAAGAGATATTGTGTTTAATTAGATAATAGAAAGCAAATTGAAAATTTAAAACTATGTTTTTTAATTGATATGTACTAAAATTATACACAAATTCCTGATAGGACCCCATGATATTACTACCAAAACATCACTTAACGTTTAACAAGTCTAATTTTGAAATGACAGGAGTATGGAAACTTCAGAAATATTCACACTTCTCACTGAGGGGTTGTTTTTTTTTCAGAAAGGGGTATGCCATTATAACAGTTTAACCACTCGTGCTCGAGCCAGGCGCTGGGCAACTTTGCCGTCGGGGGATGAAGATGCTATCGAAAAAGCTGTTGCTACTATTGGACCTTTGGCTGTAGGCATTAACGCTTCGCCATTTACTTTCCAGTTATATAGGTTCTTTAATTTATAACTTCTTTTTTATATATATGCGAAAATTTGACATTTTAAATAAAACTATCTTTTTGGATTTTTTCGCGGATTTATTTGGACTTTTGGTTCCCGACGTTTCGAATGCTTTATAGCAATCATAGTGGAAGGACATAGGATTTTATTTCGGAAATCATCGCTTATAGGGGTGAAAATGGGGATGAAAGTTGGTATGGGGAAGCAAGCTAAGGACGAACCCGAGCAAAGTGAGGCTGATGAGCTAGTTATTGATAAATCAGATTGGCTGATCTCATCGAGATTAGTCGCAAATCGGCCGGAAGGAAATTATTATTAAGGTTTATACACTGGTGTTTTATCATTTTTAAATAATTAAATATAAAAAATTACGTTGTTCACTAGAAGTGGTATCTACGACGACCCCTTCTGCGTGCCGTGGGGCTTAAACCACGCAATGCTACTCGTGGGATACACTCCTGAGTATTGGATTTTATTAAACTGGTGGGGCAAGCAGTGGGGAGAGGATGGATATATGAGGTAATAATATACCTAATAAAATTAACTGATTTTAACTAAAAAGGTATGTTGATTTCAAAATCATTTTCATAGCAACAGACTTCTCATTTAGGACCATTTTTTTTTAATTTATACAATTCATTAAATCCTTTTCTTTCAAAAAATCATAGAAATCGGGTTTCAATTTAAAAAAAAAGAAAAAAAATATATGCTGTAGACTTGAATACTGAATTTGTTAGAACTTAGATACCCTCCATTTTGAAGGTCGTTCAAAAATTAATGTAATAATAAAATACTACAATAAGTTACATAGTTTTATCATGTTTTTAAATGTTAATATAATTTTAGATAATAATGATTAATTATAGATAATTTAAAGATTTGGTATAGTTTGTAAATATTCCTTCTTTTTCCAGAATCCGAAGAGGTTTTAATATCTGTGGTGTTGCAAATATGGCTACCTATGTGGAGTTGTAAATACTTACTTTTAATGTTAAATAAAAAAATAAGTTATTAGTTAGTAGTAGTTATTTCATTGCGTTTCACATCCGTCCCTTAAAACATTTTGTCTTGATTACAGCTTGACTTTGAGGAAGATATGATTTGACACTTTTTGTATAATTTATTATAAGGAATAAGTCCTTACACACCATGCACTATGATTTTTAGCGTATATGATATGTAGTTGGCACATTAACACAGCACCATCTAGTTCCATGGAAAGCTACGAGGCTTGTGTTATAGATACCAGATAGTTGATACACTACACATATATTTTTAAATACATACATATATATATATACATATATATATATATATATATATATATATATATATATATATATATATATACATATATATATATATATATATACATATATATATACATACATATATATATATATATATATATATATATATATATATATATTATAAATATAAACAGCCATGACTGAAGTACAAACATTCGTGCTCATCACACAAATTAATTAACGGGACTCGAACCAGCGACCGCTGGCACAACAAGTAGGGTCACTACAAACTGAGCTAAAAGTGTCGTCAAACGCTAAGTGATCGTACGCCATCTACGCATATTCTGCACAGATAAACTAAAAACTTCAGATTACTTGCGTCCGTATCACTACAAACGCGCGTGAAAATTGTGTCAAACACGTGTCGACGGCACGATAAAAAGTTGTCATTATCAAAGTGTCTTAATTAATTGCACCTTTATAGCGTTTTGTTTTACATTCGAATGTTGCCACACAAAAAATTAAATTAATAAACATTATAGTTATATTTTTTGAACTTATTTATTCTAAGAAATTAAATCATCTGCATAAATTATAAAAAAAATACAAATTAAAAAAAGTTAAAAATACCAAATGCATATGCTATTCCATAACAGTACCTACGAGTATATTATATCCATACTCCATACTAATGTTAATGAAAAAGCAATCACTGGACTGAGGACAGAAGTGAAAATTTAAAACTATAAACAGTTGTTATTTTTGGATATTCAAATTAATTGTTTGATCTTAAATTAAAAAAAACTGTTTACATTTATCTAGTTTTGACATCTATCGGCGCTCTGAGTGTTAGCGTTAACACGTCACGTGACCATGTCGATGACGACTTACATGAATTTATTCCCCATCCAAACCTGTATAGAGAAGTTGTCACTTCAAAAATAATGTACACTTGCTTGCTTGACTTTCATTTGTCAATATCTCGAACGGTCATGAAAGTTAAGGGGTGGTTTAAAAATCAACCCTTTTGAACTAAATGTGTGTTTGTAAAAATTTGGAAAAAATATATAATATACAATAACCGAACTATGATGATGATAAATGAGAAATTTTCTATGTATGTGTATGTATGTTTGTTTTTCCTTCACGCTAAAAGGGCTGAACGGATTTCGGTTGAAGTAAGTACTTAGACAGACTATGACCTGGACACATAATATGCTAAGTAAATCACCGAAAAAAGACTGCCGAATCAAAAGACACTCAAGCAACGCCGGGGCGATTAACTAGTAGCCATATAAAGGTTCCATTAAACCCCTAAAATTGTAAGTGACGCGTTTGAAATTGTTCCTCCCCTGGTACATGTAGAAATTGTGTAAACTTTTTAATTGGAAAATATTCACGCGGCGTTGTTTCATTGAGTCGAGATTGTTAGAATGTTTGGCTTTTAGTTGGGTAATTGTTACCGCCGCTTGTAATCTGTGACGATTAATTTGTAACATGTCTGTTTTCTTATCACGAATTTATTCGCTAATATAATGAAATCCATACTAATATTATAAATGTGAAAGTGTTTGTTTGTTTGTCCTTCTTTCACGTCGAAACAGAGTGACGGATTAGCGTATTTTTTGTGTGGAGATAGTTGGAGGGCTGGGGAGTGACATAGGCTACTTTTTACAGCGACAGATTATCTCATTCCCACGGGAAATGCTCTATGCTCTTCAATACAATAAAATAAATACGTGTTTTAGCTTTTCCGAAATTCATCTCATAAGGAGTTAAAATAGTGGATGAAAGTTTGTGTGAAACTTACCTTTTTATAGTTTTAGTGCGAGCGAAGCCGCGGGTTCGGCTAATATTATATATATATATATATATTACTGGAATATTTATACTTGAGCTTTAATATATATGTAATTACACATATTTTTTAAATAAAACTGTCTTTTCGGATTTTTACACGGATTTATTTTTATATTTGGTTTCCGAACTTTTGGTTCGAATGCTTTACAGTAACCATGGTGACGGGACAGATTAAGGTTTTAGACGTCTTAAAAGCTCATTATATACTTAGTTGTTACAGACAGTGCCTACCCACAAAATTACAAAATTATTTTAAAAATACTAAATTGACACCAAAGTATCTTACAATATTAATTGGTAATTATAATTTAAAACATTTTTATAGTTTTAGTAAGTTTTACAATTAAATGTGTAAATGTTATTTATTTAATTTTAGCTAATAAGTATAAAATTATTACATTTTTTTAAATCTTTATTAATTAGTAATCTTATTTAGTATTGCTACTATCTACTATAAACATAAAGAAAATGAAAAATATTGATTATGTAAGCAATATCATTATTTTATGTGTAATTTAAAATGTAAAAAAATGAGAATATTAATTATAATTTAGTTTGCTATTATTTAAAACCAAAATTAAAAAAGTATTCATTGTATTTTTCATAATATGTCAATTTAAAACGCCAAATATTCGTGTAAATCTAGGAAAGTATTACCTATATTTTAATTTAGTTAAAAACATAATACATAAAATAATAAAACAAATGCATAAAACAAAAAAAAAGTAAAAAAGAAAATGAAAAATTAGGTCTAAGCCATGACGATTAACAATTTTGAAAATAACACAAAATATAACAAATTGAATACTTCTAACACAATTTTCCTTATTTTTTCCAGTTTACTTAAAAACAAATGGCAAAAAAAAGCCAGAATAAACGTGTATTAGTAAAATCCCTGACGTGGTTAAACCTTATTTCGCGAATCCAAAGTGACAACTTGAGCCCACAAAGGAAACTCGCACTCCCATTACAATTTATATAAGTATGGTGTGAAATGGTTTGAAATATTTAACCTACTTTAGACAACAATACCTTAAATTTAAATGAAAAAAAATTAAATAAGCATGGACTACCAACAGAAGTAAAAACTTATAACTTTTGAATAAACTGGTTTTTTTTTAAATTAATAATACTTTCTTAGATTTACGAGAATATTCGATACTAGCATTGCCCGCGGCTCCGCCCGCGTTCAGATGACCAAAAACCAAATTCTTAGGTTTTACATATTAGTATACTATAATAATACAACGCAGTTTTTGTATTTTTTCTCAGAAATGAGATATTTTCCCGCGGTAAAAAGTATCCTATATGTTGACCCGGATAACCAGCTATCATCATACCAAAGGGTATAGCGGGATAAGCTTGGCCAAATGGCCCCTTCTCTAGATCTTGGGACTTACGTTGTTTATTTGGTGAGTGGAACTGTGTAATAATATAGCAGCATTTTTACCTCTTTATCATTAATAGTTTTGAAGATAATTATAAAAATATTTATAGCTGATGGGTCGGATTTTTTTTTCCTGGGATCTACTGCATCAAATTGAATGAGGCTAAAGAGAAATTGTAGAGGGCAAAAAGTACTATAATATTTATTTTTTTGAGATTTTTCGAGCTACAAAAAGTATTAAAAAAATAGGAAGTTGCAATAAAAAATGGTATTTCTCACAGTTCTGTTAGAGTGACACCTCTAAAAAAATTACAATATTTATTTATTAAGCCTAGTTACATATTATTTAATAAAACATTTAAATAAAAACACTCGAACACTTCGAAAAAAAAATAAGCATGAAAGTGGCCTTTATAGTCTATTGCTAACATACAACAAAAGTGGTTTATCATATTATACTTTTCGAATCATTCTGTTGTATTTCAATAAATTAAAAGTCAAAACAAGAAATTGTACAACAATGTTGCTTTGAATAATTAATATTTTATTTCATTTATGCTCATAAATATAAAATTGGCAACACTAAATAAGATTACTAATAAATAAAATTAAAAAAAATATGTTATTATTATAATAATAACGGCCAAAATTAAATAAATAATATTGGAATTTTAAGTATACAGCTCTTTTAAACGCCCCACTGCTGGGCACGGTCTTCCAAATACGAAGGGGGATCAGACCATAGTCCACCACGCTTGCCAAGTGCGGGTTGGCGCACTTTACATGTCTATCGAAAACTTGCTAAGTTCTCTTAAACAAGCCGGTTTCCTCACGATATTTTCCTTTTACCGTAACAAGTGATAATCATGATGGAAATGATTCGCACATGAAAATATCAGAGGTATGAGACACGGGATTTGAACCCGCTTCCTCTGAACTCGGTTATCCAAGCGAGCGCGTTACAATTAGGCTACCACTTTTCTACGGTCTTCCTTCTAAGTAGATTATATGTAATTTGAAATTTGCGTAAATGATTTTACTCAAAATTACTCACAAAATGTTACGAACAAGGTAAAGTGAGATAAGGGAGGTTTTATTTACTTTTTAATTACTTTTTACGACTTAGTAAAAATGAATCTAGATAAAGTCGCTGGCTTAAGATTTGTTTAATTATGTTCTTTGCTAACAGATATAACAAATTATACGTAATTGAAGAAATTTCTAAGATTCAATATAGGGTTTTAAGAATTTTTTCTATGTACTGGCGACTTAGCCGTCACTCGGGTGTGTTTCTAGGTAAAAGTAGTATATACGTTACTCCTGTTTAGAGTCTATCTGTGCCACTAAATTTCACCCAAATCCCTTCAGTCGTTTTGATGTAAAGAAATAACATGTTGTTATTTCTTTACAAATACAGACATTCTTATATATGTATAACAGCAGTTTGATTATTGGCACTTAATCATTTAAGCACTGAGAGAAGATAACCCAAGATGACGAGAGATAGAAAATATTGTAAAGAACAATTTCTTTGAGATGTTTTCAATATCTCGTCATTTCTATTAATATCTAACCACAACTAGTTTTCATTTTTTTTTAATGTTTGGAAAAGCAATTTACGTATACCACCTGTATACATACTGTATACATATAGGGAGTTATGTGGGACTCACCTCTTAGAAAAGCCATTACTACCCACTAAAACCTAACAGAACCTCGTCTTAATGGCCTATTGCCGAATCACTTACGCAATTAATTACAACGTCCCGATGGCAGATTTGCCGAAGCAGACCACACAACAAAGGGGTTGCTCCAACAGTCCACTCTGCTGTCAGAGAAGTACCAATAGCAGCAGTCTGCCAACCTAAGTACGTCTTGCAAGCGTGGTTTACTTATATCTCGTATTTAAGACAGGCTCGTGCCCAGATGTGGAACGTTAAAAAAGGTTGAAAATAATTAAAACATATTTTATTTTTTAAATTCATTGTTTATTTTTTTATTTAAAAGATAGGCATTAAAGAAAGGCGCCATTGTGCCAACAACAATAACTCGTACCCTTTCTATCTTAGCATCTAAACTATTTGAAAATTTCCCACGGATATAAGTGCGGGCAACATTTACTTAGCGAAATTTTAAATCGTAAAATTATCGGTTAGGCATTAGCTTTACCATCACAACAAATCTATCCTACTTTAGACTCTAACACGTGGACTTAAAGTTAATTTTTGCACGCTCTCACATTTCATTTTAACGATAATCTTACATTTTCAGCGAAGTAAACCAGAATGCGACGTCGAAAATTCGGATTTTACGAGATATACAACTTGGAGAACATTATCATTTATAGCGGCTGTTTATATTTAGTGTTGTAAGAAAGAAACGACGGGAAATCCGTTGAATTGTCAAGGAAAATGCTCTTTTTGCGTGTTATAAATAAAAAATGTTGGATTTTTTTGAGGGTTGCTTCTCATAGTTTTAACTTCGCTCGGGTGCAATCCTGTTTGCTAAGCAGTATCCTATATTATGTTTCTCCATGTTATAGTCAATCTGTGTAGTAAGTTTCATGAAAATCCCTTCAGCCAGAGGAAGAAAGAAGGATACACACAAACACTTATGCAAACATTTCCACTTAAAATAGCAATATGACTAAGGAATAATATTAAAATGTCTATTTACTTATTTCATACTAGCGGTTCCCCACACAAAGTTTCATCCCCATTTTCATCCCTTTAAGGGATGATTTCCAGAACAATAAATATCCTATGTCCTCTCCAAGGTCTCAAACAATCCTCTTACCGATTTTAATTTAAATCGGTCCAATAGTTTTTGAGTTTATTCGTTACAAACATACAAAAATACAAATCTTTCCTCTTTATAATATTAGTGTAGATTGGTTAAGCGCTGAGCATCTACTATTATAAATGAGGTCTTGGGTTTAGGGGGTTGGGAATAGGGGATGTAATGAAAACCTACTTTTTTAGAGTTTTTTTGCAGTTTTGGCGCGAGCGGGTTCAGCTAGTATAAATATAAATACTTAAAATTAATGTATTTTAGATAGATATTTAAGGAAATAATCCTCAAAATCAGGTTAATAATTAAGTATTTAACAGTTTTTTTATAAATATCTTCATTTCCTTTTTTGTTTATATTATATGTTAAACCCTCGTTATAATGAAATATAAGATACTCTTACCGCATCAGCGTTAAATTTATTTCATTTAAATACATTAAGCTAATTGTAAAACGTATATATATAAAATGATTTATTCCGACGACTATCTGTCTGTCTGGCGAAGTAATTATTAGTTAAGAGGTCTAAAATGGTCTTCGTGTATAGAATGTCTCTTAAAAATGATAAAAATATGAATTTTACGTGTCACAATAAAAAAAAAAGATTCCAACGAATGGAGAACCTCCTCCTTTTTGGAAGTCGGTTAATAAAATGACTATAATGATTTATACACAGTAATGTTTGTTCGTAGACGCTATCAGTGTCGAAATTCGCCCATAACCATTATTGAACATTTTAGGAACATATATATATGAATAGAAGTCATTGCCACGTATCTGTTAATCCAACTGAATAATAATTAATTTTGTCCCGATTAGATTAAGGTGTAACATCCTCCCAAATGGTGAACTGATTTATCCTTATTTTTATTTTTATCCTATAAAGAGCTGTGTTTTTATGTTTTTTTTAAAGACTTTATTGCACAGTAGTATACATTTGTTTGTACAAAGAAATACAATTAAAGAAATCGCAAAAGCGGCCTTATCACTTGCTATATTTTAGGCAACTGATAGACAAGGATACAAAAAAATAAAAGAAAAGACCGGAAATGGTTCATCAAAGTGTACATTACTTAAACCTTAATGTAAATAAATATACGTACAAAGTTATATAATATAAAAGATATTAATTTAACAATATATATTTATTAAATACTAGGACTCACTCGGGTTCGTCCCTTGGTACGTTATTAACGGTTTGTATAGATTTCTCAGAGATAAGATATTTTCCCGCAGTAAAAAGTATCCTATATGTTGACCCGGATAACCAGCTATTATCATACCAAATTTCATCAAAATCTGTCCAGTGGTTTTCTCGTGATGCATTCCTAGAGAGACAGACAGACAGACAAATATTCTAAAAATCTCTGTATATCGATACGAATAATGACTATTTCAATAATAAGATTTTCCAAAAAATATTTAATGTACGGATTCGACTAAGAATTTTATTATATATATAGATATACATTTATAATGACAGTTTCTTACGATTCATCTCTTCAGAATCTTACGATTTAAAAACCCCAAAATTGAATAGTATGGAGAATGGAGGATTCTGAGTTCAATGAAAAATATTTACTAACTTAAATCAAGCGACATAAAAAAAATCACAAAAAACTTCATTCAAGCATAAAAGCCAAGTTCCTGTAAACTAAGAAGATAGTGGATAAAAATACCAAGTAAATATATCCTGTTTTTGTCGACACCTGAGCTGTCACGTGCGGACGCGTGATAAATGGTCAACGAAAAAATAACATTAGTTATTCCCTACCACCTGTCCTGCTTCGAATGAACGCGGCCGCTAATATTGTTATGTAATGTGACACACACCGCGCTGGTTTCACCGACTTCAAAAAAGAAATATTCAATTTGGATTTTGTATGTGTATCTATGTTAGGAGATATGTTAATAATAATTATTTGAATTGTGAACCAATTGTAGTATTTCTTTCTGTATGGATTAAATTTACTTATAAGTTTCAGGAAATATATGTATTGGAATAAGCAATAATTTTTTTTTGTTTCAATGTGATTTTATGTTCCCAATTGTGATTTTATGTATGTGTTCATTTATTTTTTCTTCAAATTTTTCAGAATGGATTTTGGTCGGATTTGGACCACTGAGCGAAAACTAGTATAAAAAATTAGCCAAGTGCGCGAATTCATCTAAATATAGGGTGATGTAACTATAATATAAGAAATATTTTTAAAAGTTTTCGTTTCTTTACTTTGACTATAAGTGTTTCGCATTCCTTACATTAACTCTTACAACTAGAATGCTTTTATTTACAAGACATAATAATTGAGTCATTGAACTCTATATTTATTGCATAAATTGAAACTTTAAAAATCATTGTTATTGATGAATGATATGATTGTTTATAAATTATATGTATATTGTATATGCTAACAAATAACGGCATATTTATTCTATTCCTAAGATAATAAAAGCTTATAAAATAAGTAGATTTGGACATTTAATCAAAATTAGGTAGATCCAACTTAAAACGCCTATTTTGGTACACACGGGCGTAAGATTTTTATTTTAATTTAATTATTCAATAATTTATCGAAATATACAGAGATTCGATAAATTATGACCTTTATAATAAAATATTTAGTTACATGTATATATAAAATTAGAAATATTATTTAGTCTCATTTTGTCATGTAATTCAGAGCTTAATTTAAAAGCTTTGTTTGTTGTTAAGGTTTATATCTAATATATTTTAGTATATTCGGAGAAGATGGGGCGTGACAGAAAACCATAACATGGTCTTAGTCAATAGACACATGATTACTTCTAAAATTCTGTTTTCTCTCATTTTATAGGTTATATATTATATATATATTGATATTTATATATATATATATATATATATATATATATATATATATATATATATTAGTATTTTTTTAAAGGCGGTTTTTTTGGTGAAATTCAATTACCCCTATTTTCTACACTTAGGGGTGGATATTTTCAAATTTAAATGGGTATAAGCCTCTTTTGAACAAAAAAAAATAATAATTTTGCTAAACCGTCTATATATGTCGGAGTTATAAGGATAATATAGAGGCTAGAACATACATAAAAAATAAACATTTGATTATTCTCCTCCTTTTTTGACGTTTAAAATAATAGAATATATTTCAATAATTGAATATCTGTTTAAGCATTCGAAGTGATTTTATTTCCCTAATTAATGAGGAACATAAAGTTCAGTAGATCTATTTTGTAAGAACTTTTACACAACTCGACAGCTGAATCCGCGAACATACTACGTACAGTTGTATGAAGTATAAGCGCAGATTTAGCTGTCGTATGGACGATAATAGTTCTTACAGAATAAACCTACTGAGATGAAATTGAAGAAGTACACAAAAAGTACACAAAATATTATTTATTACTATGTATTATTAGAATAAGTACATTTTTCTAATTTTATTTAAGTTGTTGTATTATAAATATACTTAAAAGCTTAAAACATGTGACTTTATCAATCATTTTTAACTATAAATTATATTTCTTATCTATGGTAATTGGTTGAGGCATATAAACAAAATATGCGCTTATGTATATAATAACAATAATAAATATGAAAAAACTATTAACTACACTAGCGAAATCTGTCCACGCTCCAACATGTGATGGTCCATTCTCCGTTTCCGCTACTTCCCACTTTGGCTGAATTACGAAACTCATACGACTTTTTAGTATATAATCGTTAATTAAATCAATCCATATATAGCATTTCCAAGTTCGTTTTGTTATTAAGCTTAGAATAAGTGTCAAAATTATTGAAAATATAGTAACAATAACAGATGACCTGATAAAGAGAAGAACTGTCGGAGAATTAGATCCATAGCGTGGTATGTTCTCATTGATAGCTTGTAAAAACTTGAAATGGGCGTACAAACTCAAAATCAAAAAGCTCAAACGAGAAGCGTTTCTTACATCTAAAAACAAAGAAGATACCGTCATAGTACCCACTATAACTAACGGGAACACTACTAGAGCTGCCAAACCTGTAGCATGTCTTTCTACAACAAATGTTAAATTGAACTTAATTGCATCTGTAGCGTTTTCCCTCACAGCGTAATCTACAATATCCCATCCAGAACCATTTTCTGCTCCAAGAGCTGATATCCCACGACTTTGATTAAAAGTGAACGTTACTTTGTCCTTATTACTTTTATTGATTCCAAAATTAAATATGCAAGTTTGGGAGTCGTAAGGCCAATCGTTTAATTTAGCAATGCACATAGTTTCATGAAATATTTGTACTACACACAAAATTTTGCCTGTGTTATCAACTTCACAATACCTATAGTGATAATGTTCGCCACTAAATCCGGTCACATCTCCTAAATTAGTCAGAATTCCCAATGGCGTCCAGAAATTTATATTGCTTATGGAAGTTTTATCTATTCCGCCGTAGTCACTTGCATTCCACTGAATCCTTGGATCTTCCCATTGAAAAAACATCCAGCTATAAATGTCAAATAGCTCTTCATTTTTATCAAATTTGAAGTTTTTCAGGATGAAGTTTATAGTAACAGTTATTCCATCTTTGTTTGGTATTACAAACAAATCCGTATCATTGAAAAACACATCCTTAAGGAGTTTTACTTCAAATTGTCTGTCAGAAGGCTCTGTGTGCAAAACACAATCGGAAGCAGAATGTTTTATAAAAAATAATATAAAGATAGTGGTAAGTGACATGGCTAAATTGTCAATGAGAGAATTGCTAGAAACTAAATATGGATAGGCCTGTTATGATAAAAGTACGTAAACAAAATTAAATACCAGTTTAACTTTATCAAAGATATCAAAGATATTTATCACTTTTCAAGGCCTATTATCTAATACTGTCCAAGTGCGGTCTCTGGACGAACTATGCGTAATACTCTTTCAGTGTTCTACGAGTACAGTATAATGATGTTTTTAGAGGAATGTCTAGACTGCCTAAATATTTTACTGTGTCGTGGATATTCTGCTAGGCAGGCACTGATGGTCATGTTACGGTTATAAGAAAGAGGATTTGCATCTTTGTGAATGTGACAGAAGGTAAAAAACAGCACCAATGCTATCATGGAAGCTGTTTGTGTGATTTATTAGAGTATCTCGACATCCGATATTATAAATTACCCGATTAGCTTTTTTAGAAAATAAATATAAATTTAATATTCGCTGCATTGCCCCATAAGAAAATTTCTTAAAACAAGATACTATAAAAGCAGATGAAATAAAGAAGTCTAGTAGTGTCGACGTCTAATAGCTGGCTCACTTTCCTAACGTTCAGTCTACTCTCGATAGATGACAGATAGGGGCTCCACTGAAGACCTGAGTTCAATGTTATATCTAAGAACGGTGTGAAATCTGCAGTATCAAGAGTCTCTAATCTAAAAGCAAACTAAAGTTTTGCTCTCTTACATTGGGTAGTCATTTGCATACATTTAGTTTTCTTAGCGTTTAATGCTAGGTAGATTATTAATGTTTATAAAGTATTAAGAACGCAAATAATATTATTTTTATGTTGGGTAAAACATATAGGTTTAAATATCGCATTTTAGGTTGGACGCACTATTTAGATTGTTTTATTATATTTTTAATCGATGAAAAAACCCTTTTTTTTCTTAATTTTTCACGTAGGAGGAGGTTCTTAATTCGACACGTATATTTTTTTACCTGTCTTTTGTCCTGTGTGTCTTAAAGAAATGTTAGAAAAAATACGAATTGTGTATAAAAAATAGTTTTATTTTCACTTAAAAATGAACATGGTAGCAAAGCGCAATTGATAAAAAGTCCGTAAGATATGAAACATAGTGAACTTAGTGAAATATTTAATGATTTAATCGTATTTTTTTCAGACATATATTATGACTAAACCGAGGAGATGGCGTCTACAAACCACAACGCATTTTAATATTAAGAGTTTTAATAGAAGAGACAACTACGCAAGTTGGAAATTCGGAGTACAAGCCTATTTCGAACTCAAAGAATTGTGGTGCTGTATCACTGGAACCTATGCCGATAAAAAGAGAGAAACAAGGCAAAATCAAGGCTTTTTATTGGCATGCATTGCATTTATGTACATACATTTTACGCAGGAGAGTAGCCTTGTTGAGAGATCTTATAATGACTATATTGGAATCTTCTTGTTGTGTGGATGACTATGCATTTCCCATCCATTTCTTGGGAAAATTAAACAGCTATTACATGTACCACCTCTACGGGAGCTCTTTACCTATCTACCTCTGTCTCTCTGGGAGAACTCACAGAATGCTATTGATGTATTTTGCAATTTGTCTAAAGCTTTTGATTGTGTAGATCATCAAACACTTTTGTTTACACCGAATCATTATAGTATTCAGGGCGCTCCGCTTGATCTTGTTGCTTCGTAACTCAATTAGAAAATACAGAGGATTGATATAAATAAAAATGTAAAATCATCTGGATCTTCTTTATAAATGGGTGTACAAAAAGGATATATCCTTGGCCCCTTTTTGTTCCTAATATATATTAATAATTTACCTTTTTACGTAAAAAAACATGTGATATTGTAGATAGTCTTTGCTGATGATAATATTTAAAGTTGAGCGTAGTAAAGCATATTATGACGAAGTAAACATTGGTTTGAATTAAATAACTTAGTGTTAAATGCAAAAAAAAAACAAAATGTGTCGAATTTACATTACCTAACGTAAAATAGCAGAGTTTTAGTCTGATTATGAATACTGACCCACTGGAAATAAGTAAATTAGCAGTATTTTAGGCATAACACTAGACTCCAATCTTCAATGGAACTCCCATCTCTCAACACTGGCAGGTAAACTCAGCTCTACCGTCTACCCAGTTAGGAAAGTTAAAAACCTAACGGATATCACTGTCCGAGTTAGATATTTTAGTTATTTTCATGGTATTTTATCTTACGGAATACTTCTTTGTTCTATATTACTTGTTCGTAAATATTTAAATAATTATGTAAAAAAGTGATAAACACACAATAAACACTAGGAATAGAAATAAGCTTCTTACGCCCAGATATCGACTCCAAGAGGTGAATAAATCTTTCATAGGCCTCAGTATACGCATATATAATAAGATTCCACAAAGTGTCCTAGAATTATCTCTTTAAAAATTTAAAAATAAAATTTAAAATATTATATTGAGCCACTGCGTATTACACTGCTCAAGAGCTTCTTGTTGATGGAAATGTGTGGAATTAAGAAATATTGACTTATATGCGGGCTATCTATATTGTAATGTTAATAAAATAAATGTAGCTTCGATATTTAAAAGTGCAAAGTGTTCTGTTGAGTTTCTTGCCGGCTCTTCTCAGCAGAACTGCTTTGTGGTAGCTTCTTCACAGACTGACTACACTGACGCTCAAATTAAATTTATGATTCAATAGTGGTTGTATTAAGTCTAACCGAATGAAGTTTATTTCATATCATTTTAATAACGAAAAAAAGTGCAGTAGGCACAAAATATTGTAAGAACTTTTACACAACTCGACAGCTGAATCCGCGAATATACTACGTACAGTTGTATGAAGTATAAGCGCAGATTTAGCTGTCGTATTCTATAAAAGTTCTTGCAGAATAAACCTACTGAGATGAAATTGAAATAAATGTGATAACATTGACAAACTGCAAAAAGTACACAAAATATTATTTATTATTATGTATTATTAGAATAAGTACATTTTTCTATTTTTATTAACGTTGTTGTATTATAAATATACTTAAAAGTTTTAAACATGTAAATACATCCATTATTTTAAACTAGATATTATATTCCTTATCTATAGGAATTGGTTGAGGCATATGAACAAAATATGCGCTTATGTATATAATAACAATAATAAATATTGAAAAACTATTAACTATACTAGCAAAATCTGTCCACGCTCCAACATGCGATGGTCCATTCTCCGTTTTCGCTACTTGCCACTTTGGCTGAATTGCAAAACTCATACGACTTTTTAGTACATAATTGTTAATTAACTCAATCCATATATAGCATTTCCAAGTTCGTTTTGTTATTAAGTTTAGAATAAATGTCAAAATTATTGAAAGTAAAGTAATGAGAATAGATGACCTGATAAAGAATAGAACTGTTGGAGAACTAGATCCATGGTGTGGTATGTTGTCGTTGATAGCTTGTAAAAATTTTAAATGGGCGTACAAACTTAAAGTTAGAAAGCTCAAACGAGCAGCGTTTCTTACATCTAAAAACATAGAAGATACTGTCATGGTACCTACTATAACTAACGGGAAGACCACCAGAGATGCCAAGCCTGTCGCATGTCTTTCTAGAACGAATGTTAAATTGAACTTAATTGCATCTGTAGCATTTTCCCCGACCGCGTTATATACAATATCCCATCCAGAACCATATTCTGCTCCAAAGGCTGATATTCCCCGGCTCTGATTAAAAGTGAATGTTACATTGTCCTTATTACTCTTTTTGATGCCAAAATTAAATATGCACGTTTGAGAGTCATAAGGCCAATCATCTAATTTAGTAATGCACATAGTGGCAAAACTTACTCGAAGCACACACAAAACTTTGCCTGTGTTATCAACTTGACAATACGTATAGGGATAGTATTCGCCACCAAATTCGGACACATCTCCTAAATTAGTTAGAATTCTCAACGGCGTCCATATATTGACACTGTGTATGATAGTCTTGTCGACTCCGCCGTAGTCACTTGAATTCCATTGAATCCTTGGATCCTTCCATTGAAAAAACATCCAGCTATAAATACCAAATTGTTCTTCGGTTGTATCAAATTTGAAGTTCTTCAACATGAATTTTAAAGTTACTGTTGTTCCATTTTTGTTTGGTATCACAAGAAAGTTGTTATCATTGTAAAACACGTCTTTATGGAGTTTTACTTCATATAGTCTGTCAGAAGGCTCTGTGTGCAGAACACAATCGGAAGTAGAATGTTTTATAAAAAATAATATAAAGATAGTGGTGAGTGACATGGCTGAATTGGTAATGAGAGAATTGTTAGAAATACAATATGGATACGCCTTTTATGATAAATTTATTACGTAAACAAAAAAATAATTACCAGACGAGCTTTATCAAAGTTATCTATAATTATTTAGATCTATGTTTCGTTTTGTTACTTTTTAAAATATTATTTATTTAATTTTGGTTTAAAAGAGGGGTTTTATACATATACTGAATAGTTTACAATTGATGCTGCTGTGATGAATATTATCGTGTTATATTAGCGTTTACGTGTACGTACGTTACTCATTAGCGTCCGGCATTGCAACCAGGTGTGAAGCCAAGAAACGGAATGAGAGACGGCCTACCTCTGTGGGCGGTGTGCCAGGCGGATTGTTCCTAGCACGTCTCTGAGAGCAGAGTGGACTCTTGGAGCAACTTCATGGTTGTTTCGGTTTGCTATACTTTCCAACCTCAAAAAAAAAAGAATTCACTTACCAATAACCAATAGTATCCACTAAAACCCAACGAAAACTTTTTCGCCTTTCAGTACCTACTAAAAAAAAACAAAATATAGTGAACTCTTGTTTTTACGACGTATTTATATATAGATACTAGTGACTCACCCTCGCTCCGCTCGGGTTCGTCCCTGGGGTGGGGTCTGGGAGGACCACCCTTATCCTTATCACTTAGGGGTATGGAAAATAGATAGTAGCCGATTCTCAGACCTACTGAATACGCATATAAAATTTGGTAAAAATCGGTAAAGCCGTTTCGGAGGAGTACGGTAACTAACATTGTGACATGGAAATTTTATATATTAGATGTTGTGTATTTTATGTTTATTTCGTATTCGTATATATTTTACGTATATATTTTGTATAAAAAAGTAAAGGGCATCAAAATGAACAGTTATATTTAGCTGACTCTTCTTAACATGCATTATTTTTTTCCTATTAAATTTCCATCACTCAAAGATGAAGATTATTAAATAAATGCTATTGAAATACTTTTATTAGTAATGCTATCAAAACTAATATGCAGCGGTTGGGAATCGGACCCGGGTCACCCGTGTGGCAGGCCAGCATTCTACCACTGAACCACCGATGCTTACATATCGGGCAAAATTTAAAATATAATAAAAAAAAAATACTTTTATTGACTTTAAGGTTACATTTCAAGATAGTCGCAAGGGCCCCTGTACTAGGTGGAGACCCGTATTACTGGGTGCCCCGCTCATCCACCAAGACTAGAAAGTCAACAAACAGAGTGAAAACAAAATAAAAATTTACAATTAATTACATATATAAGTTTGCGTTTGTGTGTGTTTGTGTGCATGTGTGTGTGTGTGTGTGTGTAAATATATTACTGTTTTCGAGGACAAGTTTATGTTTATCTAGGTATATAATATTTTAAAAATCCTAATAACTATTTTGGCCTCACCTACGACTCGAACCCAGGACCTCTTGATCTGCATCCGCTATGTTAGACACTAGACCAACGAGACAGTCAAGGTTTACAATTCAAACTACGCTTCTGTTTGAAGTCGATTAAAATTTAGAATAAACTGATTTATTACACTTAAATAAATAATACTCGTGTTTTCAAAACATATTTTGTACTATAAAATTTGTAAAATGTACGTTTCTTTGAACCAAAAAATATCAGCATCGGTGGTTCAGTGGTAGAATGCTCGCCTGCCACGCGGGCGGCCCGGGTTCGATTCCCGGCCGATGCAGTTTTATTTTTAATAATATATATAAAAGTAATAGTTGCTGTGTGCGTCTCCGTCCACTTGTATTTATTTCACCGGACCGTGCGGAGTTTTGTATCCATTAGCGATTAAAATAAAATATGGTCCCGAAAATATTTTATGCTAAACACGTTGCTATACAAAGTTTTTATAAAAATTTCGGGTACGTCCCTAGTGAAAAACAAAAACAAATGTATCCCAAGGGAAAAGTACATTATTCCGGGATAAAAAGTATATTATAATATAAGTACCTATGTGTTATTCTAAATTATAATCTATATCTGTGCTGAATTTCATCCAGCTCCGTATAGTTGTTCTGGCATGATTGTGTAACAAACATCCACCCAAAATTTCATATTTATAATATTAGTGGGATAGTTGAAAAAATATTTGATTTATATAATACTAGCACTACCCGCGGCTCCGCCCGCGTTTAGATGACCAAAAACCAAATTCTTAGATTTCACATATGAGTATACTCTCACATTGCAGTTTTTGTATTTTTTCTCAGAAATGAGACATTTTCCCGCGGTAAAAAGTATCCTATATGTTGACCCGAATAACCAGCTATCACCATACCAAATTTCATCAAAATCCCTCCAGTGATTTTCCGTGATGCGGTAACAGACAGACAGACAAAAATTCTAAAAACTATGGATTCAGCCTTTGTATCGATAATAATGTCTATTTTAATAAGATTTTCCAAAAAATATTTAATGTACAGATTCGGCTTAGTTACAATTTTATTATATGTATAGATTAATCGCTTAAGCTCTTTTATTACGTATAAATAGATGTAACATAACTCCAATCTAAAACGCGATATGAGAGCAGTACTCATTTCCCAGTACCGGCAGATCATGATGTTCGTATCACTGATTTATTTTTCCAATTTTCCAACCTCTGGTTGAGTTCTAGTACTTAAATGATTTGATGTATAAAATTCTAATGAAATGATTTAAAATGATTAAAATTATTTTACTCGACTGTACAACCATTTCTTCTTTTGTCTAATAAAAACAAGCTTAGTTCTGAGAAAAAAATATAATAATATAGCTCATAGAAAAATCTTATAGTGTAATAAAAATACTTAAAAGCTACTCCATTTTTCATAAACCAGGTATCATACTATTTATCTATAGGAATTGGTTGAGGTATATAAATTAAGTAAATATTTATGTATATAATAACAACAACAAAAATGAAAAAAATATTAATTATACTAGCGAAATCTGTCCACGCTCCAACATGTGATGGTTCATCCTCCGTTTTCGCTACTTCCCACTTTGGCTGAATTACGAAACTCATACGACTTGTTAATACATAATCGTTGATTAAATCAATCCATATATAGCATTTCCAAGTTCGTTTTGTTATTAAGTTTATAATAAGTGTCACAATTATTGAAAATAAAGTAACTAAAACAGATAACCTGATAAAAAATAGAACAGTTGGAGAACTAGATCCATGGTGTGGTATGTTGTCGTTGATAGCTTGTAAAATTTTTAAATGGGCGTACAAACTTAACGTTAGAAAGCTCAAACGAACAGCGTTTCTTACATCTAAAAACATAGAAGATACTGTCATGATACCTACTACGATTAACGGGAACACCACCAGAGCTCCCAAGCCTTTTGCATGTCTTTCTACAACGAATGTTAAATAAAGCTTGATTACGCCTGTAGCATTTTCCCCTACTGCATAATCTATAATATCCCATCCGGGACCATATTCTGCTCTCTCGGTAAAAATACCACGGCTTTTATTAAAGGTGAATACTAAATTTTCCTTATTTCGTTCAACGATGCCCAAATTAAATGTGCAAGTTTGGGAGTCGTAAGGCCAATTGTCTAATTTGGTAATGCACGTAGTTCTATGTAATATGTAAAGGAAACACATAACTTGGCCTTTATTATCAACTTGGCAATATTCATATGGTAAAGAATAAGCGTGACCAGCACCTTTCACTTCTTTATTGGTAAGAGTTCTAAGTGGTGTCCATATATCGAAACTATTCACGATAGTTTTATCTACTCCTTCGTATTCAGTTGCATTCCACTGTAGCCTTGGATCTTCCCATTGCAAAATCACCCAGTTATAAATGCTAAATACTTCTTCGTTGTTGTCAAATTTAAAGGTTTTCAGGATGAATTTTATGGCAATCGTTGTCAAGTTTTTGTTCGGTTGCACATGCAATTCTTCATTTTTGCTCAATAAATAATTATGAAGCTTTACTTCAAGTTGTCTGTCAGAAGGCCCTGTATGCAGAACACAATCGGAATCAGAATGTTTAATAAAAAATATTATAAAGATGGTAATTAGTAACATGGCTAAATTTGTAATGAGTAAATTGTTAGAAATTCAATATGTGTACGCCTGCAATTGTAAATCTATTACGGCAATAAAAATAATTGCCATATGAACTTTATCACAGATATCATAGTAATTCGATCTATATATTGTATAGTGTTTCTCAAAAATTTGCTGTTGCAAACTAATATATGTACCTAGTTAAAACCTACACATTTTTTTCTCGCGTGTATGTAATATTTTGATGGTATTAAAAATTATTAACGTCTACATAGACTCATGGAAATGTACTATAATATACCAGAATCTATAATTTTTGAAACCAAAAAAAATAATAGTAGGATGAAACCCATTGGAAAAAGAAGAGAATATAACAAAAATGAAAGGAAAAATAATTTACGGACGATCTAAGGTCGGAAAGTGGAAGGAGGTTAGTTTTTAAGGGTAAAAAACGGCTTATCTCGATTAACGGCAAAACTACAAGTCCTATGGAAAAAATTTAAATCGCAAAGTTGTAGGTTATAAAAAGATCTACTACAACTGTCGTATTTACACTTTTTTCACATAACTTCAAAATTTATGTTAAAAATTCAAATAACCAAGTTTTTGGCTTTTTACTTTTATCTTTTACAAAAAAAAATCTTTTCACGAAATTTGGTGAAAACTTACCTTTTTATGCCGCAAATATACTGTAATTATTTTGATTTAAAATATTTATTTTTTCACCTTATTTTCACTTAATATCGAAAAAGCACCCTGATTTTCAATCGAAAATTCTCGCGACGAAAAGACGGTGAGCTTTTTGTAGGATTTTGACAGTTATATTTAAAGCGTTTTTTAATTGATGTACTTGGTCTGAAATTAATATTAGGAAGCGAAAGTAAGGACACTTCGCCGTCGGATTCGATGTCATCCACACATTCTAGATACTTGGCATCCTACAAATGTACGTGCATCTCGTTCTTTTCTACTTCGCACGTGCAAAATGTAGAATGATTTTCCTCCTGAGGTTTTCCCTGAGTGATATAATATGGGGGTCTTCAAGAGCAGTGTCTTCAGGTCCCTTAAAAGCCGGCAACGAATTCGCAACTCCTCGTGTGTTGCACATATCTATGAGCGGCGATAGCCACTTACCATCAGATAGATCGTTTGCTCGTTTGCTCTTTTTTTCTATAAAAAAAAGTAAGGAAGAATATAAAAGAAAAGGAGAGGTAAAGAAAGGAGGAAGTTCCTCCTTTACATCCGCGTGGAATGGCAGGTGCTACTGAGCTCTCCACCAATAAGTAAGCGCACAGTCTGGGTAATTTATATGTGCTGACCGTATGCAACCAAATACGCGGGTTACAGCTAGTTTAAACATAAAATAAGTATAAATAAATAAAATAAATAAATATGTTGGGACATTAACACACAGCACTACCTAGTTCCATGGTAAGCTACGAGGCTTGTGTTATGGATACCAGATAGTTGATACACTACACATATATAACTTTAAATACATACATATTATAAATAAAAACACCCATGACTGGAGTACAAACATTCGTCATCACAACACCCCAGCGGGACTCGAACCCGCGGCCGCTGGCACAGCAAGTACACTACAAACTGAGTCAAACGTGTCGTCAAATTAAAAAAAGTATACATTGTATATAACATAAGCCCATTTAGTGGAGTTTATAAAAATAGTAAAAAACCAAGCTCTTAGCTTAAAATCCTTGGCATTGAACCAAGTGTAAAGTAAAAGAGTGTAGAGCACTTATTAAGTGTCAATAAAGATGATACATTGATATTTGACGCGATTTAGTGAAATTTTAAATTCTATTTATGTGGTTTGTGTCTGTGTTGTGTTAATTACAGTGTCGATCTGGGGTTCGATTCTAGCACATGTTTATGTAATAAATAGATCAAGATATTTTAATGTAAATATTTAACAATAATAATTAAGTCTACAATAAAAAGGTCTTCGTTTTCACCGGCTTTATTGGTTTTTATGGACAATCTTATTAATTTCCTACACTTGTTTCATCAATTTTTGTAGTCCTTAAAAGAGGAAACAGTCTTTTAAGGCGCAATGTGTAACAAAACTTATATAAAGAAAACGATCGATCGAACTTGCCTCTTAGATAATTTAAATCATAATAGTTTGAGATTCTTCAATTACTTTTTAACCGACAATAAAATATCATTGAAACTGCAAAATGTTCATATACTCGTATGATAATCTATTAAGAGCTTTCAAACAAATATATAAGTTTTATAGGTATGTATTTTCTTCTATATCGCTTTCTACGATACGACGAAAACCGAATTTGACTACGATTAAGGCTGATGACCTGTTGTTTAACAGTTTAAGGTATAACTGAGCAATACCATACAGAGAGCCGAAAACTACAGGGCCGTTTTGAGTTTATTTGACAACAATTTTGTAAATTTTATTTACATTCTTACTTAACTATTTCTTTGACCATTATGTATGTATATCATTACAAAGCTCGAGTCCTATTAATTGTTATAAACCTATATTATAATATTCAAATTTGATTATTATAAAGTATCTTATAAGTATAATAGAATACTTGTATGTAGGTATATTTTTTATCAGAATATGTTGGCAAAATATTTAAAAATAATTAAAATTATTTAATAATAAAACACATAATAAACTTTAAACTATAAAAAAATATTTGCTTGCATTTCGAAACTATAAAGAAATATTCAATATTAAATTAAAGAGTAACATTCAAAATATCTTTAGTTCTACGAGTATAAACCGAGATAGTTATAGAAAAGAGGCTTTATTAACCATTATTCTTATCAAACACCTTTTCAGTTACAATATATGTAACTGCATCCAATATTGCATTTTAAACATGTTACCAATTTCATATAACATCACTTTCGAATGAAGTAAACTATCAAGTCCGGAGCATTCCCTCGACGGTTTCTCGTTAAGACGTTCACTATACTATCCCCTTGGTACACCATGTTCTATGTGTTATTATCTAAGTCTTTGTGTCATCTTATATTGCTATAGCAAACTATACTGACCAACGTACTACGAAATCTGAAACTATAGCGAATGGATTGTAAGGTATTGTATTTTTATGTATTTATTTTGATGAAAGTTTTTTTGGGATTTAAGCTCATAGGTATTAAAAATCCTTTCAATTTAAAAATATTCAATAAAAACCTAAAAAACCGACTTCCAGGCACTAAAATTTAAAAAATAAACGGAGGTTTTCATTTAGAGTAGATACCTAATCAGATATTTTCGAAGTCGGTGCCAGCTGATGCAAAGCAAATCTAATATATTTCGATACGTAAAATACATATTTACCTATTAAATATTTATATCTTAAAATATTATAGGCTACAGCACAGCCAGTAGGGTTACTACAAACTGAGCAAAACGTGTGTATCTAATTAATTAACTATATGTTTAAAGGCATTCGATTTTAATTTCCTGTTATTTTTACCATCGATTTTGTACTTTCTATATATCATCGCGGACGAAAACACATTAATTTAATAGACCGTACTGCTGAGTGGAGCGGAACTCTTTGATGGCTGCTAGTAAAAACCTTTGAATTTTTGCTTATTATGACAATTCTATTAGCCCGTGTGCGTCCCTGGGTACGCGGTATTTTGTTCACAATTTCATAGGTTTTAATTTTTTTGCGGGGACCCTAATTCTTTTTTTTAATAAAAGTAGACTAAGTTACTCCTTATAACATCAGCTATTTGCCAGTAAAAGTCCATTCAAAATAGGTCAGCCGTTTCGGAGATTAGTTGGAACAAACAGACAGATAGACAAAAAATTTAAAACAGTTTTTTCTTGTATGTACCGTATATAATTTCATATGCATTTAGTAATAAGCTGTTGTTTTAACATTACAAACAGACACTTGAAATCTTGAACTTTATCTATCTATACAATTAAGAAAATTATTTTTTGAAAAATCTTTTTGAAATAGTTATTACTCATGACTATCGATCGATATGATGGCGGAATCTATAGTTTTTATAATTTTTGTCTTATGTCTGGGAACGCATCACAAGAAAACCACTGGACAGATTTTGATGGATAGCTGGTTATCCGGGTCAACATATAGGATACTTTGTACTGTGGGAAAATCTATACTAAACGTTAAAACGTAGCGTAGCGAGAGTGAGTCACTAGTTTATCTGTATAGATGGTTCATCAAAATCGTTTTGTATAGTTTTATCAAACTTCGAATAAAGCGAAAGTAAAAAAAACAAAGCTAATATTACATAAAAATGAATGTATGGTCCTTCGGTATAAAACCAGTTGTTTTCTTAACTCATAAGTTATTTACAAGTTATAACCGAGACTGCAAAGAATATGTCAAAGAAAGTCTAGTACTACCCTCATACAAAGCATAATATGTTCAAATATTTCTATACTTGGTCCTTGAGCTCCAAAGCGAGTAATTGAAAAGGGGGAGTATCAAAATTTCATAAGCGTGTGGATGAGGGTATGATTTAATATTTATTGTGCCTTTCCTGCCAAGTTAATAGCGTTTTGTGGCTTAGTTTGAATTTTCAAGGGTTTTACGCGGTCTTTAAAGTAAAATTGAATTTTTATCGCTTGCTTCACCTGCTTGTAGAAATAACTACTTTAGCTTCAGTTTTACTAATAAAATGTCATAATATTTACTCAATTTTTATATAAGAACTACCGACTCACCTTCGCTCCGTTTGGGTTCGTCTCTAGTTAAGTTTTACGTTTAGTATAGATTTCTCAGAGATGAGATATTTTCCCGTAATAAAAAGTATCCTTGTTGACCGAACAACCACCTATCATCATACCAAATTTTATCAACATCTACAGTGGTTTTCTGGTGATGCGGACACAGATGGACAGACAGACAGCCAGACAAAAATTCTAAATCCTATAGATTCGGCCTCTGTATCAATAATAAAGACTATTTCAATAAGATTTTTCAAAAAATGTTGAATGTACACATTGGACTTAGAGTTTTACGAGTATTATA